CGCTTTGGCTTTTTCATTTGTGACTGCACAACAAAGCTCTCTCACCTCAGCATCTAAGACCTGTCTAACCTCCAGCTCAGCCTGCACGTACGACGTGACGTCATGGAACGCGAGCACCAGATTCCATTCCGTTGAAACCGGATCCAGAACCAGGTTTGCTTGAACCTCATGCCAGCAGCAGTTGCTAACGTACGGCGGCGATGCACTGGGCAGAAGCGGTGACGGCGCCGCCGCCGCCGCCGTCGCCTCGGTATGCGCGAGCTCCTCTCCCGCCGTCGCTAAACTGGTCGTAGCACCACTCGACGCAGAGAATCCTCGGAGGCCGCCGCCGCCGCCAACGCCGCCGCCGCCGCCGCATGAAGCTCGCACGCTCGTCACGCTGGCGCTTAGGACTCTCCGCGCCGCCGTCGCTGCTGGCGCCGCTGCCGCTGCCGTACTAGCTACCAGGGGCGGCGCCGCAGCTGTCAAGGCCGCAAGGCTCTGCGATGTTATCACCGCTCGCATGAAGTTGATGACTGAAGCAGCCGAAGCTTGTACGATCGTCGCAACTGTCGTACACTCCATGGGCTGTGCAGGTGCTGTAGTTATACGACGCCAGGCTACAAGACGTGTGCTTATGAATCCTCTCACTGCCTCCATCCTCGCCCGTAAGAACAAAGTCCCCGATTCGTTTAGAAGCCTCAGTCCTTACCCCGAGAAGTTTGGTGTCGTGTAGTCCTCAAATGAAATGCTAGGTCCAAACAGATTTTTACAGTTGTCACAACCCGAATCATGGAACTGCAAAAGGGAATCGGCTGAGCAGCGTCCTCAACGCTCCACCGCAACAAACACCGCACCTGGTTGCGCGACTTGATTAGGCGGCACACGTAGCAACAAACAAGATTCTTATTGGTAAGAGCAAAGTCAGAAGGGTCCCGATTGGACTCGCCGTGTGCTGGGACGTCAGCGACCCGTTCCATTTCCGGGCTCCGGGCCCGTTTCTATGTAGATGCTACTTACTCCTAGTAACGTATTAAGCATATATATAGGATGCACCACAACTCAGGCTGCCCGGAGAAAAATACACGGAGAACGGAGCTGCGCAGCGACGCTGCCGATATCGTTGCTGTAAGGTTGGGCTGACTACAGTTTCAAATTTAAACATACACCGTAGAGGCATATGAAGGAGGTGCATAAATGAAGAGTACCGTCACGAATTCAGCTATTGGAAGAGGTCCGAGGCGATTGTTGCAGTTGGGGGTTGACTGTCGTACCAGAAAACCTGCCGAGGTTGTCCCTCAGCCCGGGGAGTACATTGGATTTCCGGGTGCGTATTGTGCAGCACGTAGAAATTACTTTAATTGGTGGGTGGCGGATGCTTTGGTGTGTGGGCCCTTGGGGCTTCTCCTCGCGTCGAAAAGGCATGATCAAATTGCAATAGCCGATAGGTTCAGGTTCGCAGGGTGACGGGGTTACGTTCTGCGCTTCCTAAGCCCAGGCTTACATGTGTTTGAATCGATGCCTGTAGGGCTGATGCGTGTAACACATGCAACTAANACCGAAGCCAGAACTCAGAACCATGCCAAAACTCAAATGCCCGAAATTAGCTTCATATCAACAGTTAGATATTTTCATTCTAGACACGTATATTATTGCTTTATACGGCTCGGA